TACCAGATTGAAAGCTTTTTTAAAGTCAAGATATATGACGTCAATCTCTTCTCCCTTGTCCAGGTGATATGTCACCTGGTCATAGAAGGAGATGAGATTGGTCAAGACCTACCCGCAACAAACCCGTGATGGCTATCCCTCAAGAAGTTGCCTTCAGCCAGTTTGTCAAAAATGGTCTCTTCGATGATTTTCTCCAAGATCTTCCCAGGGATGGAGGTCAGGTTGATGGGCCTGTAGTTCCCTGGATCTACTTTCCTCCCTTTCTTGAAGATAGGTACCACATTGGCCTTCTTCCAGTCCTCAGGCATTTTGCCTGAGGGCCACAAATTCTCGAAGATCCATGCCAGTGTCTGAGCTATGATGTTTGCCAGCTCCTTAAGTACCCTGGGGTGTAAGCTGTCTGGGCCAGCTGACTTGAAGGTGTCTAACCTCTCAGGGTGTTCCTTCACATGGTCAACATTGATGAAGGGTAATAGTTCTCCCTAGCCCTGGCCATCCCATACTGTATTGAGCAGGGCTGCCCCTTGGGGCTGGTGAAAAACTGACACAAAATACCTGTTCAGCAGGTTGGCTTTTTCCTGGGCATCAGTTGTCAGTTGACCCATATGGTTTAGCAGGGGTCCAATATTACCCTTGCTTTTCCTCCGGCTCCCCACCCATGAGAGATAACAGACCTGATCACCCACCCATCAGCCCTATTGTCTCTCTGCAAGTTTGTGTACACACAGCCAAGTCCTTACCTTTCTCTAAAAGTGCAGTTTCAAGAAGTTAAATTAATAAAGAATATCAAACAACAAGAATGCACTTTTGTAGAACACAATGTTTAAATCAAGGCTTCCTGACCAATGATTTAAATCACTGTAATTTAAATCAAGTCTACGCTGGGTGTGACACAGAAAGAATTACTTGAATTCATGTTCAGCAGGGAAACTCAGAAAGGTTTTTTGTCCTTAAGATAGTACGCTAGTTGGACTGTTTAGCAATCCACCCAACTCAGTGAATCCACCCAAAATAACGGCAGCAACTTGTTAAGTGCATTGACACTCCTTAAAGTCACTACAAGTAGCAAGTCTCAGGGTCCCCATATTTATAGTCGAGATGCCCCTGTCTCATGCCAATTCTTCTCTCTCCCTCTGTTGAGATGTCCCTTTCTACTTGTTTCTGTTAGGGATGTAAGAGTTTAAACTGTTAAATAGAAATTATACAATTTCATGTTTACCTCCCAGCTCAGTGCTGCCCGCTGTTAAAGGAGTGACTCTGGCAGGGGCTGCCCAGGAGGTGGCACAAATCCATGCTGCAGCATTGTAGTGGTTACCTGGTGGAGCAGAGTCAGGCAAAGCTGTGTGGTAAAGCCGGAAGGGTTTAAATAGGAGTGAGCACAGTAGCAGGGCTGCCAGCAGATGCTGCAGAGGTAGACTGCACAGAATCCCCCCCACAGCACCCACAGGGGCTCCCACTTGCTGGGACAGCCATGCCATGCCCAGGTGGTACTTCCAGTCTGCAGGCACCTGGAGCCCCAGATGGTGCCTCCCTCCCTCCTGCCCACTTCCCAGGCTCCAGCAGCTGCTGCTCAGCAAGGACCCATGGCAGCTTTCCCAGTCTGGGGGCATGTTGCAGATGGACATGCCACACAGTATTGCACCTGAGGCATCCACCTGTGGGCTAAGCACCCTCTGCTAGGAACTGTGGCAGCGGGGAAAGCCCTCAGCCTTGCTGGAGGAGTGTGACACCAGCAGCTGCTGGCTACATCCAGATGGGGAAGGACCATCCACACCCTCAAATGCCAGGAAGGGAAAATACCAGAAGTAACTCTTTGAGGAATTGAGAAGTACTGTGATCTAGAAACACATGGTGGGTTTTTATTGTGCCCAGTGACATCACAATATCATCACTAGACAAGAACAATCTTAAATTATTTAGCTAATATGACTGTACAAACAAATAAGATTCTTTAAAGAACGGTTGAGAAGACCAAGATTTGTGCGAGTAGACACATTTTGTTAGGAATCCTTTTCCTGACACACGTAATATCCTCTGCCAGCTGCAGGATTTAGAGAGTTTAACCACCCTTGTTCTAGGATTCACCCTCACCAGACAAAATACAGTGAAGCCAGACACTCATTCTTTTGGTCTTTTGTTTGGATCTATCACATGGCTGTGCCTAGACAAGAAGTTTGGAATTGGAGCTTCCTCACTGGGAAACTCAGTAAAATCCAAAGCTAGGATTCAGCCTGAGTTCCACTAAGCCCTACTTGTGCTAAATTTATGCTCATAATATTTTTGAAACTCAAATTTTCCACATCATGTTATATGATATGTATAAAGTACAGTGTTTGGCTTAGCAGATTGTAGTCCCTTTCCATGTGGTAATTCAGCAAACAGGCAGGCTAGAAGAATAAGGAAAGGCCATGCCTTATTGTGCTTCTGTTTAATTTCTGATGATTTTCATTTGGGGTATGTGAAGCAGACCCTATTTGATTCGGATTTGGCCCGAATCAGGGACAGTGATTCAGTTCATTGATTCAGATCACTGTCCCTGATTTGATACAGCCAAATCCAAATCTGAAGATTTGATGCTGATTTGAAGAATCAGCGATTTGGACATAGACACAGCTTTAAATATTTTTTCTACATACCTTGAGGTAGCAGGCATGGCTCATGATCGCTGTGATGCTGGGGCACATAGAGCATCCCACAGGAGTGTGGGGGCCCCTCCATGTCCTTGGCGGTGAACCCGGAAGTGGACTGGAAGTACTTCCAATCCACTTCCAGCTCTGCCAGGGAGAACGCTGCCCCCCCTCTAGGGCTCAGCAATCAGCTGTGAGGGGACCCCGGGTGTCTGCCCAGACCCAGGAGACACCAGTCACTGAGCCGGGGGGGCCGGGGGGGGGGGGCCTGTGCACTCCCCCGTGGACCTG